CTGCTGTTCAGCTGCACAAAGAAGGACCATTATGTTTGAGCTGTTTTACACAATGCCACTATGTATTTACCTAAAACTGTACTGGACTTCTCTGCTGAATATCAGAGTACATGTGAGAGAAATATGTGTCTCTCTTGCTGCCATCCATTACCATGGTGACTTACTTCATCATTCTTCTGTCTAGACTTTTCTTCCCATTTACTGTAAATTTCTTTTAGCTGGATACATTTGCCCAAGGTTTTGGAGAATGTGTCTTGGTTTTGTTTTCCACTACTAATTGAAATCTCTCCAGAAGCCTTAGTGTTATTTTTACATTCATCCTACTTGCAACTTCCCTCAGTCTGACATATCTGTCTTTTTCTTCCCCTGCCCTCTTCCAGACATCTAGATCTCTTATTTGCTCTTACAGCTGATATATAACTGGCTTAATAAGTACTTTTAAAAAGCAACGCAGTCAGGAAAAACACCAGGGCTGGCAGCCTGAGGAGCCCCAAAGGTTACCCAGCATGGTGGTAACAGGGATGCAGGGCTGGGATTCCATCATAAGTCAAGCTGAACGGGAAAGTCCAACTGAGGGACAACTGAGGAAAGCTCTGTTTGTCTGCAGTTCAGGAAAGGCTACGAAGACTTGGAAGGGAGCTTCTTGTAAAGAGTACATTTCTAGCATCCATCAATTCAAAAAGGTGAACAGACATTCTCTTCTGCAGAATGTATAGAGAGAAATAACTGATACAGGATACCCTCAAAAGCACCCACAAAGTTACAGGTAAACTATTCAGGAGACGGGCATACAATGTGTGCAATCCCATTTCTGACTCCGTAAAAAGAAGCTAAAATCACAGTTGGCAACAGTTCTGAAATACAACAGTAATCCATAAATACTCCTTAATTTTCCCGTCATTGCAGAATTAAGCTACTTCCAGCTCACACAGATCTTACCAGGTGTGCTAAATTGATGTCATTATAAGCCATCAGGAAATACCCACAGAGACCTGTAGCAATATTTAGAAGTTTTGTTAAACAGCTGTGTGTTATAATTGATTTGTATTATTTAAAACAGCTAAAGCAAGTTATCACTGGATGTAGAAAAGGGATGACTGAAGACTCCAGGGAGATTTAACTCAGAAGAAAGCCAATCATAGGAACTTCATTTGAGCATTTTAAGAATATTACTAGAGGAAGTGCAATTAAATCATCACCATTTATCAATTACCATTATAAAATACTATGCAACCTTATCATATTAATTTATTTATGAGAAGGTAACTAGTTGACTTCTGCTTTTTGCAATAAAAATAATCTAGTCAGTAAAAGTATTTGAAGACTTTCCACAATAATCAAAAGTAACTAAAAAAGTTCAAATTTTACCTAAAATTTGGTTTTGGCAATGTAATTGTAATTGCCAAAAAAGCTAAATTCTTAGACAATGTCTCAGTTCCTGATCTCAGACACATTTTACCATAGAGAGTATAAGCCAAAATATAGTTTTATCAAAAATGTGTACAGGCATGGCACTCACATTTCATAAAATACATGGAATATAAATCCCAAATGGTAAGTGTAAGATCCTGGATCTGGGAAGAAAAGGCAGTATGACTTTTTTTTCCTAATCTGCCAACTAAATCAGCCCTACTTAAAAGTTAAGTGACATTATGCATGGACAGCAGTAAGCTCAATTTTTCTCCCAGTGGTGGATTGCTTGTAGAATTTAAAATTTGTATCTGTTTTGGAACAAAATCCTAAACCTTTTCTCTCTGCTGCTCATGTGTACTGAGAGTTCAAGCCTGATTTGGTGAGCTTGCCCAGTGACTTGCATTATACGATCTGTGTCCCTGCAGGCAAAGCCTAACCCACATAACAAAATGGGTCAGCAGAAAAGCAGAAAGGGAAGAGAAAACTCTGTATTTCAATTCAGAACCCTGATTCATTTGAGGGGGAAAAATACTCTTTTTCTCATAGACCTAACTCTTGTTTTGATCTGAGGCTTGCAGGAGAGCGCTTACAGTATGTTTTTATTATCTTTCATAATTCCTTTGAGAATACTCTGATTTCTACTGCTGGTTTGTATTTGGACTGGCATATGCATCTCTCAGTTTACAAGGGGAAGTCTTTGTTGCACCAGTGGCTGCTGGCACTGAAAATACGACAGTGTTCACACTGCTAATTGTACTGGTGCTTTCCTCTGCTCTGATTCAGCTCCAGAGATGTACAGTTCCACAAACCATGCATTCCTTTGTCTTCTTATCACTTGACTGAATGACCATAAGCAAATGCACCCTCACTGCCTGGTGCCCTTCTGCTTTCATCTAAAATTAAAACTGTAGACCTCTTGAAACTGCTTTCCCGGAGGCTCTCTCTCGCAGCCATGTGGGAAAGTACATTTCCAACCCAGGAACGCAGCTGGGGCCTTTGGACCAAGTTCAATACTGATGCAAAGCAGGCTAACCTCACTGAAGTCAGTGGAATTCAATGGCCTTGAGCCACAGGTACACAGTCTTCAGGGAGAAAGCATACATACAAATGGCATAGAAAAAAAAAGTACAGTAATTCAAAATTATGTAGTGGGATTGCTGGACGATCTTAACTTCTCTGGCTTCTCCTACCTGCCAGCAGTTCCAGTATTATGATATCAGCCTGAGGTACAGTCTATATTACTCTAGGATAAACAGTTTAACTTAGTTTGTAATCTCCTTATTTAACGGAAAGTCACCTTGACGTTATGTTCAACAGTATTCTGCTGGTATAGCTTTGCTAATTTCTCCAAAACATTTTTCCTTACATCTTAGTTTGTGTTTGTCACTGGACTCATATTGGCTGAGCCGCCTCTGGAGATGTGTCACAGAGACAACAGGTTCAGCTCTCCACACATAAAACCTGTTTTTTTACCACCCATAAAACCTGTTTCTGCAAGCCTTTGTGTGTACATATCCCTAGTTATTAGATGCAGGACAGTTTTACTTTACTGTTCCTTAAGAGGCAAAAATAATCTCTAGGTGGGAGTGAGCTGGTTTTCCTTTTGGCTTCCACCACTCCGATTTTACACATTCCAAACATACTGTTTATGCTTTATTTTCAGCAGTATTGCATTATGATTTATTACCTATATAAAGCAGTAGGTTCTTGCAGTGCTTTGCAGACGAATAGAAAGAGACTGTGCTTTCTACAGAGGAGCTTGAATATGGCTTCAGGCCTCAGTATAATGTGAGCGTAGAGAAGGCACACCACCTCTGGAGTGCACATAGCAGGTTTCCCTGCACATTTTGCAGGTGGGAATATGAACTATCCACAAGCTAGAACAGCTCAGCTGGGAAATACCAGAGATGTCAGCCCTAAAGGACACCTAGCACCTGACCGAGGGGTTACTGGTCTCTGTCTACTAGGAATGCAAGAAGGTGGATGTAGAGAAGGCAAAGTTAATTCAATCCTCTGCCTCTCTATGTAGAAACAGTCACAATTTAGCTACAAATCTTAAACTTCAGCTATAAATCATAAAAGTCTACTGAAAAATCTGAAGTGCAATACTTCCTTGTGCAGAAAATCATCTGCTACCATATCATATTATTTTATTAAAACCTAATTTACTCATCTTCATTCTGCAGTAGACAAGTCAGGTAATTAATAGTTTATTTAAAAGTGTGTATTACAAGAATCTGTAAACTCACAACTAGAATTCAGACAAGCACAGCAAACATCAGAAAACTGATGCCTGTTAGGTTCTTGGGGAGCTATTATAATATAAATAATAGTCCGTGGCTGCAAAAACATGAATGCTGCTTGTGTTCCCATGGTTGAGTACCATCTACGAATAGGCATCCTGTAATTAAATTGTATTAGTTGAATTCATAGAATCATAGAATCATTAAGGTTGGAAAAGACCTCTAAGATCATCAAGTCCAACCGTTGACCCAACACCACCATGCCCACTAAACCATGTCCCTAAGCACCTCATCTACACGTCTTTTAAATACTTCCAGGGATGGTGACTCAACCACTTCCCTGGGCAGCCTGTTCCAATGTTTAACCACTCTTTCAGGAAAGAAATTAAGGAAGAAATTAAAGAAATTAATTTCAGAATGATTAAGGAAACACCTATAGAACCCAGTTGAGGTTACATCCCTGTTGTGCCAGCTGCTGTGGTAACAGACCTGTGTACCTGGAAACAGCTAAAATCAAAAAGTTAAGGAAGGAAAAGGGAGGAAGAGAGAACCACATTAGTATCTTTGCTGATAATAAAAAATTCACACCCGGAGAGTCTCTATTTTTTGTCCAAACTTGCACTGGAAGCCTGGAGCCGAGGGAAGAAACCAGAGCAACCAACTCAGCTCTGAACCATATCTCACTCTTCCTTGGACAAGTATGACTATTCCCAAGACAGCCATCATCACAAGTCTGGGAATGGCTGCTGAAATGACCTGATGACTTTAAAACCATTTTAAATAAAAGTGATTTGGATAGCCTTAAAAGAAGGCAGTGATATCACAGTTTACTAATCTGCTTCCTCTTGTAAAACATGGCATTCATTAACTACTGATTCTTAAGGACATTAGTCGGCAATAACTTATTATTTGATTGAGAGATCCATTTTCTCTCCTTCAATCCTAAGGACTGCAAGTCTATTTAAAATTGAAAATTACACAGTCTATTTTGGTAATTTGATTAATACACAATCTGTGAAATGTTACACTAATATATTTTACTTACATAAATAGTCTACTTTTGTATTGACCCAAATCCATGATTACTCAGAAATTGCCTCAAGTTTTCAGGATTGGCTTTGGAAAAGTATTTTAAATGAGAGATACTGTCACATTAAGACTTACATGGTGAACACCTATATATCCTTCAAAATCCAGGACTAAAACTATTGTTGGCAACTGGCTCAGCACAGCCTCAGTTAGACTTTTATATATTTTACTTGTGTCCAGGAGGGGAATAAGGCCATCGAGGATTCAGGCATATATTGCATTCATCAATTTTGTAAAGGACCAGTGGTTTCTCACCTGCTGTGTAATAGTGTCCCAGGGACCCTCCAGCAGACGAGTCTTGTAGCACGCATGAACACTTTTCCATATTTCATCCAGAGTTAAAGGTCTTCCATCTGTGAGGGGGGGGAAACAACCACACACAGTCAAAGCTCTTAAGCATGCTGTATCTTTAATACTGAATAGCAAAAGTAAATCTGAAAATACTGATTATCTGGAAGCAGATGGAGAAAATAACAGCAAAATGTGACTGAGCCCCTTCTGGCCCCATAACTCCAAAACAGCATTGCTGTTTTGCACTCCTAACTGAAGGTGCGTATAAAACTATCCTAAATTCCCTGTTCAGCTTTCTTCTCTGTCACCTGAGAGTAGTAACTTACCGTTCTGATTGTAAGGCATTAAGTTAAACCAGTTTTGTAAAACAATGCTTGGATAAGATAAATTTAAAACCCCAAAATAATATCATGAACAGTTATCTCACGTAAATACACGCAATTCATAGCGACAGAGTGGAAAAAATCCAAGGAACAAAATTCTGCAGACAAAAGTTTACTGCATTTTTGTAATCTACATACCCACAATTTTTTCTTGAGCTGCATTTATATAGCATTGTTGCATCAGGTTTTTAGATGTAATGTTAGAATTATGCCAAGATATTAGTGTCAACCACTTAGAAAACAAGCATGTCAATTTTTCCTGAATATTTGTTTTTGGCAAACAGCAATAGAATATTTTGATATACTTTCAATAAGTAGTTTCATCTTGGCATTTATTAGGTGTCAGAAACCATTATCCTGTGATAAATAGTTTTATTCTGCTGACATTTTCATGTCTGTAAAATGAACAAGATTTATTCACCCAATTAACATTTGAATGCCATGTTTAGATATAAGTTAAAACCAGCTGCCTACAGCCTCTGTTTTATCTTATTTTCTGCACATATTTATAAAAAAGCACCAAGTTCTGAACTTGCATAAGCACCGTATAGCAGAAGCATGTGGCAAATAAAGTATCTGAGGGGGTAACAGCGTATTAACTATCTATACTATGCCATCCTCATGAAGGTGAGACTTGTTAGACCATCATGCCTTTTGTCTTATGATGGCAGATACCAGAGCTGTGCTGGAAACGGTCTAACATTTACTAAGAAATTTGTTACAAGAGCATAAGTTAACTTTAGAAGGATGTATTTATGCTCAGATCATCTGTGTGCATGTAATACAAGATGCCATGCATACTTGCAATTTTCTGTTTTCTGTTCAACCTGCAAAGACAATGCAGAGAAAGTCCAAATGTAAAATCTAGAACACATTCTAATGCAAAATTTGATTTGCCACTCTAGATTTTGTTGTGTACACCTTTCTTTGTATCTGTGAATTTTATAGTAACACTTGAGCAAATTCAGATTGTACACATGGAATGGATTACTCTGGTTCTAACCATTTTAATCTCATTTACAGAAACGATCAAATATTGTTGAAGCATTTATCATATTATAGTTAAAAGTAAGTTTTGTCTTTATCTCATGGATTTTATTACTTCATGCATGAGAAGGAGTATAACTTCCATCGTATTTCAGTGTAGATTTATTTTCATTTCACAGAAAAATACAAATACATCCAAACTGAAAGTTTCACTTCACATCGGAGTGAGATCACAGATGGTAAAATACTTAAATAGTTAATATAGAGTAATTGCAATGTTTCACATAGGAACAAAAATTGATCTGGGCATTCTGATTATGCACTTATATATTGAAATATGCTTGGATTTAAATT